ATCAATAAAGGGTATATAACAACAAAATATTCAAATATTTTTATATTCCAACAATAATCAATTAGTTAACTAAAATGGGAAACCAATAGCAATCTAAAAATATACAAATCCAGGAATACCTTTTACAGGACATGTATAAGACCTGTGTGGAAAACTTCGCTACAAAACTTTGCTTAGAGACAGATCTGAATAAAGAGAGATCTCAATAAAGACACACACCAAATCCTGAATGAAAAGATCTAATATATAAGCATGAACTTTTCAAGGTTAACTTATATTGGAATTATGCAATGTTAATTTTTAAACTCCCAAAAGAATTTAGGGGTTGGGGAATTCATAAAGTTTTTTCAGGAAAAATAAACTGGTGAAAATAGATAAGAGCATGGAAAAATAAAAAAAGGAGAATGCAAGGGTATGTATTGGCATAGAAAGAAGAGATGGATCAATGGACTGGAAGAATAAGTCTAGAAGGAGACCTAGCCATAAACAAAAATTAAGTATACACCAAAGGCAGCAACTTGAATCAGTGAGGGAAGACTGATCCTGTAAAGCTAAATGACAAACTGGACAGTTATGTGATAGAAAAAGTGTCAATATCTTTCATATATGTCCTTTAAATTACTGAAACTTTTCAAAATAAAGATAAATTCTTCAGTAGAAAATTGGGCAAACGCTATTGAATAGACAATTTGCACAAAGAGACGCACAGAGTCAAAAACATCAACACTGCTCAACTATGCTAGTAGTACAAGAAATGCAAATTAAAACAAGTTGCCTGTGTGGGTGTTTTTTATTTTTTACTTATCAAACTCATAAAGGTTTTAAGTTATAACATCAACTTGTGAAGTGTAGGGAAAATACTGCCTATAACCTGCCTGGTGGACAATCCAGCAATCCTAAAAACGTGCTCACCACCAATTCCACAGCTATAAATTTATCCAAAGGAAATAATTATGACGTTGGACAGAGATTTTTCTACAGGTGGTTTAAGAAAGCATTGTTTAGGTTCTGGGAAGAATCCAAACTAGGGGACTGATTACACGAGGTTTAACGTATTCATATAATATAATACTGGGCATTAAGTAATGTTGGAAAAGGAGATTTAATGACACTGGTAAATGTTTATAACTGGAAAAGATGCTACAAATTATTACTATATGATCCCATGTTGGTTAAAAAAAACTGTACACAAAAGTCTAGATGGATATAGAACAAATGTTAGCAGGTGTTACCTCTGAGAGGCCTATTACAGGTGATTTTACATTCTTTGTGCTTTTCTGAATTTTCTAACTTTCCACACAAAACTATATTTTCAGTTCTTTTCCAAAACAATTGGAAAGATATACTTCCAAGTTCCATTGGTTTTCTCTGAGTGCCAGAACCATGGATGATTTAAATTTTTAGTATTGTTTTCTATATTTCTCAAAATTTTCTGCAAGATTAGTTTAAAAAAAGAAAAACCACACACACACCGCCCGCCACCCCCACACCCCTGAGGGTGTTTTCTTAGGAGCTCAGACCCAGAAAATTAGTTAAAATGCAGAGAAACACAGGCCATGTGCTGACTGACAAACCCCCTGTAGAGTGATATTAATCTGAGCTCCTCCACAGCAGTGCGTAGCCTTTACTGGACTCTGTAGTCCCAGCACCTACTACATGGCATCTTAGGTGCTCAACACCTATTCTGTTGAGTAGAGAATACTACCACCACCATTCTAGAAGTCTTTTCATTTATTGTCCCACCAATGCGAAGATACTTCAAAGTGTTGGTGTTGGGTATAATATCCTTACAGTTGAGTCCTGATAACATAGAGTAACACTAATTATTTAGGATCTCTAAAGTGCTATAGAAAAGGTTTCCATTCAAGAAAACTAACCCAAGTATAATCAGCTCTGCAATATCAAAAGGGAAAATCCCATTGTTAGAAGTTCTTTTCCTAAGTTGCCTTTTCTTCTTCCTTTTTTTTTTTTTTTTTTTTTGAGACCCATGGCAATCTTTTTACACTTGATTATAGCCAAAAGGCCGAGAAGCAATGAAAGCCATGATAATCTTTTTATGCAATGTTATCAGGTAAAAAATGGCTAAAGTGTATTAGCATTTACCAGAGTGGTATTCTTTTATAGAACTCAGCTACTAAAACCAGGAAGAGTACAAAAACAGCTGTTCAACTGACCTCCAAACCCTGAAGTTCGTAAACATCCACACTAATAAGAGAGGGGAGCCCAGCAGCTTTAACCTCCCCTGAACTGCAGCAACCAATGCTTGCTTAAATTAAGTAAACTGAGTCCTGATTTTCCTTCTCTTCTGTTCACATGCTCTAGACTAGAAAGACTATCAAGACCTTAAAAGACCAAATTCCAAAAAAGAAAAGAAGGAAACTAGATAACTAACCCTTCAACAAGCAAAATTGACTGGTCATATGGAAGCAAGCTCAATTATAGGCAGCTTGCCTAGTGGTGACTTCACGTCCACTCTTCTAGACTTTTTACCTCCAGCTTCTTGTGCACACCTCAATCTTAGCACTTAGTATATTAACTGAAACTGTCTCTGCATCTTTACCATTGGACAAACTGCACATTTATCTTGGATGAGGACCTTGCTGATTTAATACCCTACTAGGAACGCATTTAATACCCAGTAACACGCACAAGTTCTGGGGCCACCATAGACAAAAAATAAACATCCCTGAGGTGCTAAAATAAATAATACAATTGACATTCTGTGGCATTCCTGCAGAGGCAAAAGTCACAAAGTTTTAGTAAGTCTTTATGTGAAGGGATCAAATTTTAATAATAATAATAATAAATACCAAAGTAAAGTATTAGAGGGGTGAAGAACTAGAAGACTTTTTAGTAGAAACAGTCCCGGTTTACCCACATCACTGCAAAGGCAGGAAGAAGGGAGAGAATCTGAAGAGAAAATCTAAAGATGAGAAAGAGAAGCCACACTGACTACCTTTCCACTTTAAGAGATACTTTTGTGTTTCTAGTTCATGATATGTAAATAGCTAAAGCATAAAGGAAGCTTCAACTTAAAACATGGTCAGTCACGATCATAGAACAATTAAAAGGGAAGACGAAGGGATGAGCAGAAGCATATGTGCAGTGAGGCACACTCACCATCTCACACACACACACACACACACACACACACACACGAAATTCCATAGTGGAGTAAAGCTAACCGCCCTCTTCTAGAATTCTACCTGCCTGGGAAGGGTTTGGTCTGCCCTTTCACTGATGAAACATAAATATAATTCAGATCCTGACTTTCAGAGTCAGGCTCCTTTTTCAAAGAGGGTTGGCAGGAAATAACCACGTCTTTACAGAGCCATCATTACACATCCTTTTCTTGTTCATGCAGGGCACTGAGAAAGCACTCAATTTGGATGGGTAGCCCGCATTTCAAATTGATGGGAGCCCAGAGACCAGAATGAGGCTAGTTCAATGGTTCTCCGCCATGGCTGCACATGAGAATCACCTGAGGAGCTTTTGAAACATATGAGTGCAGAGCCTCAACCCAAACCAGTTAAATCAGAATTGCTAAAGGTAAGGTCTGGGCATTATTTTGTTTGTCTGTTTGTTGGCTTTTAAAAGCTCCACAGAAAGTTATCATTAATTTTTTTTCAGTATGGTAAAACCAAGTGTTTTTTCTTTGTTGTTGTTGTTTTGGGTATTTTGTGGCTTTTTTTTGGTGTTTACTAGAGATATACAAGAAAATTTGCTTTAAAATACTCCATGGGGAGAGGTGGTTTTGCTTATAGAAGACTGGCAAAATGCTGATAATTACTGAAGCTGGGTAATGGATACATAGGAGTTGATTAGTCACTCTACTTTTGTAGATTTGAAATTTTTTTTTTCTTTTTCTTTTTCTTTTTTTTTTTAAGACAGAGTCTCACTCTGTTGCCCAGGCTGGAGTGCAGTGGTGGGATCTTAGCTCACTGCAACCTCCGCCTCTAGGGTTCAAGTGATTCTCCTGTCTCAGCCTCCCTAGTAGCTGGGATTACAGGCACGTGCCACCACACCTGGCTAATTTTTGTATTATCAGTTGACACAGGGTTTTGCCATGTTGGGCAGGCTAGTCTCAAACTCCTGACCTCAGGTGATCCAGCCACTTTGGCCTCCCAAAGTGCTGGGATAACAGGTGTGAACCACTGTACCTGGCCAGATTTGAAATTTTCTATAATAAAAAGTTATTATATAGAATCAGCAGAAATAAAACTTTGTTCTCTACTCTCACCAGAAAAATCTACAAGTCTATGTGTATAATGTGTTTAATATAAAACTATGTTTAAAAATACACAGAAAGCATTGCAAGTGATTCTAATGTGCAACCAGAGTTGAGAACCACTCAGCGGCCTCAATGAAGGAGGGGCAACTGGATTTGGAAAATAAAGATTTAAGTAAGCAGCAAGAAGCAATCCAGGTGAGAGAGATTCCACTCAGGCTGTGGCAAGATGGAGCCCAGTGAGGGTGGTAGGCCTCCTCTAGTTAGGCACCATCTCCAATTTTTGCTATGCATACATTTGCCTGAATTTTGAGACTCTTCATTCACAAGTAAACTGCAAATACTCATACATACACATGTTAATACACATGTGTTAATATTACACACATATATTATGTTTGTGTATATATATCTATGTATACATATTTTAGATAACATTGCCAATTATATTCAGTAGCATGTAATTTTTAAAAAACACTATTTGTGGAAATATTGCCTCTTACTAAAATGCTTTGGTCTGTGGAATAGTCATCCAAAGGCTTTCTTCAGGAGTGGGCTGGTGGGGGTGAGGGTTAGGGGTGTAGTCTTTTAACTGGCAAGCTCTATATCTACCTAAGTAATTTATGAGCAATGCTGCTTAGAGGGCCCTGGGTGAATTCTGAAATCAGGTGTTACTAGTGGGAAGAGTCAAAAAGAGCAACCAAGTTTGAACTTAATGAACAGAGAATGCAACAAAGCTCCCCGCATTCCACCTCCCAAATCCCCAACTCACCTATTCTTCTCCATTTCATTGTGAGTTGATCTGAAAGAGGGAACAATAAAAGAAGAATAAGATATTTTTGTCTTAAAGAACTACTTCAACACCAACACAATTCTTTTAACTTCCTTCTCTCCGAAGTTGATAGGAGAGATGTAGAAAGGGAGAAAAATTCACTGGGCTCTACTAAAAAAATTAGTCCATTTGAAGAGTTAGATAAATGTAAATACCTAAAATAGAGTTCAAGGTAAAGAGACAAACCAAGAAGCATGCCTTCTCTAGTGGAAAAATAATCCCTTTTAAGACAAGGAAGAAAAGGGGTCTATTTATGCAAAAACAGCTGCACAAAGCAATGGGAATTTGCGTTACATAATATGACAAAGCCTTCTTTAGGCTAAGGGTAGAACAATGGAGGTAGCATCCCTACCCCACCCCTGCAGTTTTCCCTAGGGGTAGCATACACCAAAACTTTGTGTAAAGTTGCTTGACTATGCTGTTTTAAATAGTAAAATAACCCTCTTCCCCAATCTTCTGACTCCCTGAAGTAACTATCATGTACAAGATGCTACTGTTAAATAGCAACCAAATGATTTTAGGAAGGGGTTTCCAAAGCTCAGCTCAACATAAAGATGACAGGTTGGTTAAAGCAGAAGTTAGTGAAATGTGAAGTCCAGCTTTGCCACTGATATGCTGTGGAATAAATAAAATTCTTTACCATCCTGTCACTGGTTAACCTGTCTATAAGATGAGAATAAAAATAATTATCAATTATTTACTGAACAAGTATAGGCCAATGAGGTAGCAACTGTAAAACTGATTAGAGAGCCTCGGATGAAAGGTGTGATAGATATGAAACCATATGATTAGTGTATTTATGGCTGACCTTAAAGACAAGGTCTGGCCTAAGACTTTATGGACAAGTTACCACAAAGTTATAACAAGTCAATGTGGCCCTTTTAGTGTCCTCCTCACACAACTCCTTCCTAACCAGTTATAAATCTGGAAGAAGCTACCAGCATTATAAAGGAGCTGAATCTTGACCTTTCTTATGAAAATTCTCTGGAGTTTAACCAGCTCAGGAGTTTACTCCCTGGTTCAGCTCATGAATTCTGTTGGGCCATCAATAATCAGCACCTTACTGGGCTTAGGAGATATATTCTCACAGCTATCATGGAGGAATACCACCTCAAGAGTGCTCAGCCACTTATTTACATCAGGGGCACCACCACCAAGTTCACTCGTCAGAGAATGGGGGTAAGGACAGCAAATGTGGGGGGATAGTGGAGGAAATGAGGAGGTTGTCTTGAAATGAGAAATTTCCAACCTAGCATTAAACTTCTCTTCCACAAGGACCTTGGGAATCAATTTTTATTCACAAAGAAAAAATAAATGAGAAAATGACAGTATTTTAAGTTTAGAATATTTGTTTTCTAGGTAAACAACACATGGACCTCATGTATTCAAACCAATCCAAAATTGGTTAACTTAAAAGTTTTAGGCTGGGCGTGGTAACTCATGCCTGTAATCCCAACACTTTGGGAGGCCGAGGCGGGCGGATCACAAGGTCAGGAAATTGAGACCATTCTGGCCAACTGGTGAAACCCTATCTCTACTAAAAATATAAAAATTAGCTGGGCGTGGTGGTGGGCGCCTGTAATCCCAGCTACTCGCTTGAACGAGGGAGTCGGAGGTTGCAGTGAGCTGAGATCGTGCCACTGCAATCCAGCCTAGCGACAGAGGGAGACTCCGTCTCAAAAACAACACAAAACAAAACTTTAAAATTGTCAGACATGGTGGCTCAGACCTGTAATCTCAGCACTTTGGGAGGCTGAGGCAGGAGAACTGCTTGAGCTCAGGAGTTGGAGACCAGTGTGGGCAACACAGCAAGAGCCCATCTCAATTAAAAAGAAATAAAAGCTTTACATTGATTCACTTGGTTATCCCTCAGCATTCTCCAGTCACATTGTTCTGAAGGTTTATTGCCTTCAGTGGCCAACAGGATACTATAGTTAACAAGTATCTGGCATATACGGCAAACCTTTGGCTCTAAAGCACGTGGCATTTTAACTTTAACCAGGACTAGTAAATTCAAAGTCTGACAGATTTTTTTTAAAAGATGAAAGTAGATGGGCACGGTGGCTCACGCCTATAATCCCAGCACTGTGGGAGGCTGAGGTAGGTGGACAACTTAGGTCAGGAGTTCGAGACCAGCCTGGCCAACATGGCGAAACCCCTTCCTTACTAAAAATACAAAAATTAGCCAGGCATGGTCACATATGCCTGTAATCCCAGCTACTCAGGAGGCTGAGACAGGAGAATCACTTAAACCCGGGAGGTAGAAGCTGTAGTAAGCTGAGATGGTGCCACTGCATTCTAGCCTAGGCAACAGAGCAAGACTCTGTCTAAAATAAATAAATAAATAAATAAATAAAATAAAATGGATGAAAGTATATGCCAACAGTTGGTTCAGATTACCCTCTTTCACTGTAGACAAGGACCATCCTTTGTAGGTGGAGGAGAGGAAAGTGAACAGGTTGAGAAGACAGTAGAAAATAACAGTACACAGGAAATTCTTACCAAAATATTTCTGGATTCTTTGAAAATATATAGATAAACTAATAGAGTTATATACTCATGTAAAATTTTGAATCCCCAAAATAAACTTTTAAACAAACTCCATAGGAAGCACAACTTCTTCCAAAATTTGAACAAAATTTTTAAAACTACAGATTTTCTTTGATTACTTGAGAGTGTTAAACACATGGTGCTTTTTCAAGGGGGACTTATAGCGAATGGCTAGAGCATTACTGAAGGGTATCCAGTTTACTGAAACTGAGTTATTAATAAAAAGCAGCCCTTTAAAAAATGATGAGTTCCGAGATGCCAGCCACCTCCATTGATGGGTAAACATTTACATTTTTAATTAAAGCATTATAAGAACACATTGATACCTTGTGTCAAAACTATTTTCCATGTGATTATGGAAAACAATGGATAACTCTGGAATCACTGATAAAGGTCAAATTTCACCATTTAAAAATACACTCTAATAAAAAAAAAACTAAGCCAAATTATGGCGTATCTGAGATAACCAGGAAAGATCCTTGGGTTCAAAAAGACTCCTCATGTCAGGCCACTCTAGCCACTGTCTTATAAAACAACTGGGTGGCAAGTCCTGAACTTCCTCTTTCATATGAGTGCCAAAGCTTGCTTTACTCATTGAACAAAACACACTTTTAAAAAGTTCTAGATTTCAATTCTAAATAATTAGTAATTGACTTCAAAAATCAGTAGGAAAGAAACTTCCATCTTCCTACGGATAATTTCAAAAACAACTGATATTCACAATTTCATTTTCGTTTTTGTTTTAATAAGCAACTAGAGAAACGTGAATAAGATCTGCATTTTCAGTTCCCAAGAAGTTTCCTATGTGGCTAAATCTTATCTTTTATTGTCTAAGGAAAAGTACCTCCCCAGACTCTACAAGCAAAAAGCACAGCATTTTCAACCTGTATGAACAAGAGTAAACTGTTATCCAAGGGTTATGTAAACCAGCAGTAATCTCTCCCTATCCTTTACCTCAGTTCAAAATTCTGACCATACATGGCTGAGGATATAAAGCTGATTCAAACCATGGGGTCAAGCTGCTTTCTCCGTTATGATTGCTTGTTCCTCAAAAAAGGAGCTATTCCAAATGGGTCATGAAGGAAATGATCACACTGAAAGAAAACTACCTGCTCCTGCCTCACACGTGTGCCTGGTGCTACCTCTAGGTTTAATCATGGTCTCTCAGAAATCCTTACACTACTGAATATATTACACTAACTCACTAACAGTCAAGTATATGGACAACTGTGATAATCCCCTGTCTCTAACCATGGAAAGCAAACCAACCCATTAACAGAAGAATTTGTAGCCCTTTTTTTTTTTTTTTTTTTTTTTTTTGGATAGTACTGATTCTTTCTACTAGAAAGAATCCATTTCTTGGCTTAAGATTCTTAACTACTATTATTTTTCTTTCCTAATCACCTTTTGGGACCAAACCACTTCAACATCTCATTTTTTTATCCCCACTAGTGAACATCCCCTACAACCTTCCTGTGAAACTAAGGAAAAAAATAAGGTGTTAAGGTATTAAGCCTAAATAAGTAACATGGACAATTCCTCTCAAATCATTAGTGGACAATAATAAAAGCCAAAATGGACTATGTTTTTCCAGAAAAATTAACTGAAAGGCCTCAAAATTCTTTTAAACAAATTAAAAAAAATACTGTATTAAAATGCAACACAGCTGAATTGTTTTTATACCATTGCATATTACAAGTCAGTATTAACAACCTTCTTAAAGTGGCTTCATATCCATGCACAAAACTACAGGCTACCACCTTCAGGTAATGCTAAGATTAGAGGACAAGCAAAACCCACCAAGTAATTACCAGGTTGATTCTTCATGTGCCATTTTTATTCAAGGGCATGGCACAAGTAATGCTGCTCACATCCTGTGGTTCCACCAACGATACTAATGAGGTGAACCAAGTACAGAAGACGCAGCAAGAACACGTGATTTTTAGGTTTAAGTGGGAAATTCCTGGTCTGTATTAAGCCACAGAGAATATCAAATAGATACTTGCAAGGAGTTATTCATGAGGGTGAGGGAGGGATGAGGATTCTAAACCAGTGACGAAAAAATCAATGCTTTTAATTTACTGGCAGGAAAGGTATAGTTGAAGGGATCTAATAAAACGAATTTCCTAGCCAACTACATTTTAAGGGCAAAGAAGGGAGAAAAAGGGCAGTAACATTGATGGACTATTTACATGTACCAGAAACTATGCACAGGACTTTAATATGTGATTTAACTGACCATTAACCAAATCTCCAGTGAGATTCACAGCTTTTAAGAACTATGGTATAAGACAATCTATAAGACTAACATGGAAAGGTTGTAGCATATTAATATTTCGGTATTATATATTCCTCTATCACTAAAGAGGTAGGTTTTAACCTCAATCATTCCTCTTTGCCACTACAAATAGAGGTGACAAATTAGAGTATCAAACAAACCACTGTATTTAATTTACATGTCAAGTATGAGATCCTACCACTTATGCCAAATCAGGTACTTTAATGTGTTTATAAAATCATTACAACGAAAAGTAAAAGAAATGGATAATGTCCAGCATTTTGACTTATAGAAAACTTGCCCTGATCTGCAACTTCTGAAGGGAAAATATTGTCACCATTGCTAATCTCACTTGAAGCTTTCACAGATTTTTTTGTTCCAAAAGGGAAGAAAAGCGAAATTAAATTTTGAATAAAGTTCATAAAAAATGTAAAACATTTCTATTTTTCTTTTCAGTTCCCTCAACCCAAACAGAAACAGCTTCCTACAAGGTCTTAAGTCCATGTGTACATTACTGAATCATGACGGCCACAATGTAATTTTATAGGGTTATAATCACAACAGGCAACTTACATTCAGCAGTTTGTGTCACCTACAATATAATCTAAAAGACAGAAAGAAGTATTTACCAAATTACCTGCTACTGCTGTTATTCTTTTTGGATTTGTTCCTCCGTTTTAAGGCATCTCTGTCCTTGTTATTGTATGGTAACATGGAGGCATAACCATGTTCAGCTTCTAGAAAACAGGAGGATCCAGTTAATGAATGGGCCCAGAATATTTAATACTCTCTCCTCTCTACAGTATTTCCTTTTTCCTTTATTTATCTTTAAAAGAATATTGTGGAAATAATTAAATGGAGTAAGGTGGAATTCTGAGAACAATGATTAAAAAAAAAAAAAAAAAACAACATTGTGTGAATACCCTCAGTTCGGAGCAGGTGTAAAGAGGATTCCAGCTGCTCATTGTTGAGAAAGACACAGTAGTGGCTAAGCTCACGCAGCCTGGGTTTCCCACTGGCAACGTCCAGCAGGTTGGTGCGGGTTAAGTGGAACCAGCCTCAGGCGAAGGTGCGGGGCAAGCACCGTGAGGCGCTGCTCCTCTGCCCAGGAGACTGGGGCGCTGGACCCACCTGGGGGCCGGCCGGGACCAGCCCGGGTGAGGTAAACCAGGGAGGCTATCGGAGGGGGCCCCGGCCACCCATTCGGGAGGGACTGCGGAAGGGGCGGCGTTCGGGACCCCGGCGGGCGAAAGCCCCTTCTCCACCTGATTCATTGCTCTAGGGCAGCGGCGGCCTCCCTTCGGACCGCGCGTGGGGAGAGCCGGAGGGGTTGGGAGCGCTCGCGGTCTCCCCGCCTCCAACCACCCCCGGAGCGGCTGGGCGCCCGGACCTGAGGCCGGCCCTACAGGACCCCCGGCCTCGGTTCGAGTGGACCCCTTCCCGTCCCCGTGCACCTCTCTCTCGCCGCTCCAGATAGTCGGCCGCCTCCAGCAGCATCTGGATGTTCATCCGAACCGCCGCCGCCATTCTGCACCGGGGGCCGGAGCCACGGGACCAACCCCCACTGCCCACGGGCTCGCTGCCGCCGCCGGACCGCTATGGAGCCCGCTGTGGACACCGCGGAGCAGGGCTGAGGGAGCCTCTCTGGCAACCACGCTCGACAAGAGAGGGAGGGGGGCCAGTCAGCTGGGCACCGCCGACACCGTGACAGAACCCGGAGCAGAGCAGCAGCCGCCACCGCCGCGGAGTGTTTATCCCCGACTCACCATCTCCCCGCCCCCAGCCCCTTCTCTTGACAGGCCAGCTTCGGCCGCGTTCCTCATTGGGCCCCCCAAAGAATGCCCCGCCCCCAAACTTGTGCGATTGGGAGAGGGCTTCACGGCTCCACCCCCCAAAGTCCGCTCCTCTCGCTGGTTGGTCACGCTTGACAAGGCCCGGGCTCCACCCCCTCTTTCCAATTGGTGACAGGATTCGCAACTCCGCCTCGTGCTCCTTCCTTGTTTCCCATTGGTTCTATACCAACAACCCGGGCCCCCTTTTGCTTTGTTAGTATTGGCCAAGAGCTGTAGCAGGCAAGCACCTCGCCGGTCTCCCATTGGTGAAGCCTTCGGAAACCTCCCAGCTACGATGATGTCACCTTTCTCCAGTTCAGGCGAGCCCTAAGTGGCTGATGGTCAGCGGCCTGCCTGCTCCTCACCAGGTGTGGCATTGGCTGGGAGGGCCGGTCCGGCGCTGGGCGGCGCTGATTCACCGGCAGCCGCGGAGCTCGGCTCCACCCGGTCTCGCCTCGGACCTGTTGCCAAGACCTGTCCCCGGGGAAAACTTCCGGGGACCTGCCAGGCGTCCCTCGAATGGAAGGCTGGCACCTCGCGTCGCCTGGGCGCTCTGCGCCGCTTGGGTTCGGGGCCGGAGCCCTGGGTCTGGTGGCCGCGGCCCTGGAGGTTCTGGGCTTCGCGGAACTCCGGCTGGCGAGGGCCCAGCCGCGAATCATCCCGGAGAGCGGTGTAGGATAGTGGCCGGTGAGCCGGGAGCTCGGGCAGGCGCCACGTGGCTGCTGCGGGGCTTGAGAAGAAAAGCCTGGCGGTTGTTAAATGCTTGCCGCCTGGCGTTTTTTCTGCCCTCAAGAAAGAGCTGGAATCGGGCTCCAATATACAGCATTGAGCTCATGCGCCTTTTCCGCACCCCCTCCATCCCCGGGAAATGATGGAATAATTAATTCCTTTCACGCGAGTGGGTTTTTAAAGCTGAGACTTTGTGAACCTACAGAATGGCATTAAACTCTAAGATTCTTTGACTTAAATCTCTTTTAGGGTTTTCCCCTCCCTTTTAATTCTAGATGAAGGCACTCACAAGATTATTGGGGGTTTTTTGTTTTTTTTGTTTTGAAAGGGAGTTTTGCTCTTGTCGGCCAGGCTGGAGTGCAATGGCGCAATCTCGGCTCACGGCAACCTCCTTCTCCCGCCCGGTTCAAGCGATTCTCCTGCCTCAATCTCCTGAGTAGCTGGGATTACTGGTGCCCACCACCACGCCCAGCTTATTTTTGTATTTTTAGTAGAGACGAGATTTCACTATGTTGCCCAGGCTGGTCTCGAACTCTGACCTCAGGTGATCCACCAGCCTCGGCCTCCCAAAGTGCTGGCATTTCAGGCCTGAGCCACCGCGCCTGGCCAAGAATACTCTTTAAGATGTCTGCAAATGGTGTGTTTCCGCATGGGGTGGTACCAATATAAATGCTTAATAGAATGTTATGTATAGAAAACTAAAAAGTTTAAAGATTGTTCCCTAAACCTATCAAAATTTTTGAGATGAAAGCTATATGGCAAACCAAGCTACACTGCCAATGTCCTGACAGACAGCTCCAATTTTAAAAGTAGAAATGAAGTTCTTGGTAGGTTGAGTCCCCAAAATACAAATGAGTAAAGCATGAACATATTTCTTTTTTTTTTTAAGTTTATTATTGTTGCCAATATATAATAGCTTACTATGTGTAGGCATCATACCTACATTATCTCTAATCTTCAACATAGCTCCATGAGGTAGGTTGTGTTAATTACATTTTGCAAGTGAAGAAACTGAGGCCCAGGGAGGCTAAATGATTTTCCTTGTCATGCATTCAGCTGCAGACATGGAAACTGAATCTAGGTCTATCTCACCCAGAGCCCAAATTACCAATCCTCCTGTTGGTAGTTGTATAAAGACAAGGTGGTTTAAACAGATTTCCAGACTGAGTCACAAAACACTGACAACTCAAGTACTGAAGAAAAAGACAAAGGTGTAAATGTAATTATGGTAGGAAATGTTAAACATGTATTTTTTAATGGTCCACAAACCCACTAAAATTAAATCAACTCAATAAATAGAATAAACATGTAGTAAATCATGCCTGACATATAGGCATATTCTGGTTTCAGTGGTTAACTGGATCTAAAAACTGATTCTTTAGGAAAATACTAATGAAATACACATACTGTAGGTAAAGGTTTTCAAGGTACAATACAAAGTTGGAAATGAAGGTAGAAATATAACAGTATTTTTTTTCTCCCCATCAGACAGGTAATGTGCCAATGCTGTAACAAGCTCTTTGGGGGGCACGTCTCACACATGAATGGGAACACCTAATTACTATGTTTATGAACTACAAAAGGATCTAACAGTTTTTAAAGAGTATTTTTAAATTGCATGTTATTTGTAAAACAAACTTGAAAATCATAAGTGCAATTCTACTAAAGTACCCAAAGCGATTAATACTAAAAATGCTTTGATTTCTTTATCCTAACATTTTGGATTTTGTGTATATTTATATTTTCTCTTTGATTTTATTACAAACATTTGGCATATGTCTCTATTCTCTTACTCTCAACTCTTTATTTTAACCAAGTCCTATTTCAGTATCATGACCCTTCCTCTACCATCACCCTGACTGGAAAGTCACACTTGTGTTTTAAAAAGGGGGAGAAAAGGTTGAAATCTGAGCCAGAAACAGCAAATAATTTAAATGCCAACAAGTCTAGCTTAGACTCCAAACAAAAATACTACATTATATAAAAATTAGAGAATCAGACTAAAGAATAGACCATGTTCGTTCCTTGGTGGTGGACGCCAATTATCAATTAGCCAGCAACACCAACTAGGAATTAGTATAACGAAGACCTTCAAAGGGTATTTGGTGCCATCTACTGGAAATGAAGTAGTAAGTATAAAGCAAAGGTTTTGAGATTCGGAGTTTCCCAGAAATTATTTTACACAAATGTATGGGATGACCAGTTAATTAAGAAAACCTGAAAGTATAAGTCTTGAAGAAAGAACTGAGAATCCTAAGATAATGAAAAAGTGGTGACTTTCAATACCTAGTGCCTCAAAGGCATGATATAAGCATTGACTGACTGAGAATCACAGTTCCAATCATAGAAGTTGTGAATTCTAGGATGTTTGAACCTGAGTTTTACGACCAGAACTTTAAATAAAAAGCTATGTGTAATAACATAAACATGGGATGGCAATAGTTTATATCTCTGAGCATATATCAAGATAAACTAATTGAGATATACCTTGAAAATGGGGAATTACAAAGACCTAAAATATTAGACTTGTCAGATAATCTTTACTGCCAAGTAAATCTCTGCCCAGTCTCCTCTGGGGGGCTCCTACTCCAGATGGGCACAGGACAGTATATTAAGAGGTAAATGCCAATACTGAACAAGCAGCAGGCTCATCACACACTATGGAGTTCTTTGCCGGAGATGCCGCTTCAGAGAGCACCCCAGAGTGGCAGGGAAGACAACTGTTACGGTATTATAATCCTGAAGTGCTTAAAAAGTTCTATCACTATGAGAATTAAAGCCCCCTATTTATAACTGAGTTTGATACCTAACTACTATGACATTAAAATAAATTTTGCCTCATAAGGTTTTGAGGAATTGATTTTGTTCCTTGAAGTATAAATCAGGATTTCAAGTTTCTGCTTCAATAGTATCATCTCTTTCTTTGTGGCTACTTTGGACACACTAATATGATACCTAACATCATAATAGTAAATTTTAAAAACCTTTAAAAACTCTGCTTTGCAAAAATTAGTCACTGTACAAATCTGTGATTTAGAAAATGAGGCACTGGCCAGGGACTGTGACTCATGCCTGTAATCCCAGCATTTTGGGAGGCTGAAATGGGAGGATCACTTGAGCTCAGGAGTTCAAGACCAGACTGGACAACATAGTGAGACCTCATCTCTATTCAGAAAATAAATTAGCTGGGTGTGGTGGTGCAGCCTGTAGTCCCAGCTACTTGGGAGGCTGAGGCAGGAGGACTGTTTGAGCCCAGGAAGTTGAGGCTCCAGTGAGCTGTGATCACACCACACAGCACTCCAGCCAGAGCGGTTCAAAAAGAAAAAAAAGGCAATGGCTAAACTGTCATATGTACATCACACAAAACACTATGCAGCAGCTTTTTAAAAGGTAGACTTACATATACTGGCAAGAAAAGATCCCCAAGGCACAGTGTTGAGTAAATACATTGTAAAATAACCCTTACAGCATTTTCTTTTTAAAGGCCCAAACTATGTATTTTCCCAATTTCCTACTCTGTTATATACATAGAGGCATGGAAAAAAGATACAAAGCAAAGGATCAGCAATAAGAATGGGCAATATCAGCCGGGCGCGGTGGCTCAAGCCTGTAATCCCAGCACTTTGGGAGGCCGAGACGGGTGGATCACGAGGTCAGGAGATCGAGACCATCCTGGCTAACACGGTGAAACCCCGTCTCTACTACAAAATACAAAAACTAGCCGGGCGAGGTGGCGGGCGCCTATAGTCCCAGCTACTCCGGAGGCTGAGGCAGGAGAATGACGTGAACCCGGGAGGCAGAGCTTGCAGTGAGCGGAGATGGGGCCACTGCACTCCAGCCTGGGCGACAGAGCGAGACTCCATCTCAAAAAAAAAAAAAAGAATGGGCAATATCATTCTGAGTACTGTTCGAAAGGAGTTTAGCTTTGTCACAATGTTTTAAGACTGTTACAAGAAAGAGGCTTGCCACAAATGATATTTCCTAAATGAAAAAAAAAATGTAAT